TTCATTTTGGATTGGGTACACAAGAGATGAGCTTTAGCAATGTCACACACTTATGCATTCGTTCATGAAAGTAACTGACGTAAACCAAGAGGTACGTCGCTTGTTACATTCCGTGGTTGTTATGGCAGTGCTGGGGTTTTGTGTTTGTTTTCTCTTTTCTCTCTCTCTCTCTCTGTAACTATGCAGCTCTACTAGGTGGGGAAGTGAGAGAGATGATTGATCGCACCCGCTGCTCGTTGTATTGGAGACACTACTCATTTAAAAGAGGCTTCGGAGGACATTCAAACTGAAGCCTGCCTTCCAGAGTGTTGTGATTGGGATCGTCCCTCATTTGTTGATTTACTTGCTGTTGTGGAGTATTAAGATTGTTGTTATTGTTCACCCAGCTAAGGCTTATTGTAGCCTACTACCATTTTCTTTTTGTGTTTATTGTTGTGACTATTTTCTTTTTTTTTTTGAATACCAAACGTTCTGGGAGCTGTAGGAAGGTGGGTGCCTAGTTTTATTTTTGTACTACCTTTTCTCCTGTTTTTGGCTAGGAGTTAGTGTTACTTTCTGTTGTTTATTTGTTTACTTTTGGCAGACTAAGAAGTTTTACTCCCCAACTAGACAGAGGGTACTTGAGGTAAACAAACCCCCTCCTGAGGTTTGTTTACTTTGTTTAATTTTGTCAGTTATACATCTTTGCATAATACATTTTTGAACTGCAATTTGATGCGTCTGTCGTACAGGGCTGGGAACGGGAACAGGCACGTTAATTTTATTTTCACGGTCTACTCCCTATACCTAGACAACTTTACATCTGGGACGTAACACGCTAAATACATCCGAGATCAAATGGTACATCCAAGATTATATCAACGTCAGTGTTGTAGTCGTGACCACCTCACTCGAGTCCGAGTCGAGACCGAGACCAGAGAGAGTCGAGTCCGAGTCGAGTCCGAGACCAGTGAGGGTTGATTAGCTTTTAATTTACTTTTATTTACTAAGAGAAATCCTTTTTTTTTTACTGAATTTACTTAAGAGTATAAAAAATATGATCAGTTTAGGGTAAAAAGGCCACATAGTAGGTGGTGTTAAAAGTAATTTTATTACAATTTGTCATGCGCAGTTGCGCACTAGAAAATCACCAATCACTGGGCATGTCAATAAATTTAAAGAAATATTTTATTAACATACATTAATAATCATGAAAAATATTTTGAATTGAACTCGAGTGGACTCGGGAATAATTCCGAGTCCTAAAAAAAAAATGTTCGAGTACGAGTCAATTCCGAGTCCAAATGCACACGAGTCCGTGACAAGACCAAGACCATTAAAATATGGTCTCGAGACCGAGTCCGAGTCTCGAGTACTACAACACTGATCATCGTGCTAATAATGATCTGGTTAACCAGAGATGGGGGACTTGAGTCCCGTCTTGACTCGAGTCGCAAATTTAAGGACTTGAGACTTGCTTGACTAAATTAAGAAAATGACTTGACTTGAACAGTATGACTATTTTTCAATATAAATCACCACAACATCAATTGATGAACAAAAGGAAAGCAACGGAACCATTGACACAGTCATCAGATTCTGCGCGATTGCGTGACGCTGCACAAGCACAGGAATAACATACATCGCGGTGAGCGCGCTAAATACAAAAACATCATCCAGCATCATTTCTTTTTGGATATAAACACTATAGAAATTAATCATATTCCTACAAGATTTGTTGCACGCATAATAACTGGCAAGGGATATCGGACACAACCATCACAACCTCGAACTTCATACACCACGTCTAACAGTAAGGTATAGCTTGTTTAATCTGTTCGTTATAGACGAGACTGTTCGCTATAGAGAGAACAGTGGTCAAAAAAGCATGCCACAAAATTATGTTTTCAAATGAAGCTTGAGGCTGTCAATAGATTAAAATTATAATTATTAGTAATGGCATATGTTTGGTATAACATGCATAAATTCACACAGACATTTGCAACAGTTTCTTCCAAATCGTGCTTTAAAGCCAAATATGTCGCTCTTTCCAATGACGAAAAACTACATAAGAAACTGTTATTGATGTTTTGTTGTGTTTTATGTTTCTCTTGAAGCAGGGTCAGATGTTATCAGGGGGTTGGGGGGGGGGGGGGGAATTAATATGCAACCAAAATTCAAGATGTGGTGGGAAAAATGGCCCTAGTAGGCTATGAGTTATTTTTAGATTTATAACATATATTTAGTAAACAAAGAGTGACTTAGTTCCAGAATGAATCTGCCATTTTGAACAAATTAATTGAATGAATGCTTCTATAATTCATACATTAAGACGGTGATATGGTGCCACCTATCTGTGTTTTATTTTCATAATTAAAAAATTATAATTTATTATCTTTTAGCATCCATTTTTCTCTATATTGAAATGATTAGCCTATATTTAAATCATTAATCTCATAACATTATATATGGGGTTGTAATTGCAGTATAAATGCATGGTTAGAAAAAAAATTGTTAGGAAAAAAATTACGTGGGAAATCTATTTAAGGGGTCACATATTGGCTCTTAATGGGAAAGTGGAAAGTTAATGTCTGCCAGTGATATTCCATAAACAAAAAATCCATTAAAGGAGAACTCCACTGCAAAATGAACCTTTGGTCTAATAAAACATCGGTACCTAGTCAACCGTTCTCTGAGATTTGTTTTCATGATAATCGAATGTAAAGAGTTTTATCTCTAAAACTGTTTAGCGTATAACACTAGTAATGGGGACTAGGGCTGGGTATTGAGACAAATTTCACAATTCGATTCGATTTCGATTCACAAGCTTGCAATTCGATTCGATTTCGAATCGATTCAATATCGATTATTTTGGATATCAGTTACAATAAATGGCCATTTTTCTCAAGGGAATCAAATCTCTTAAATGCTGTAAACTATGGGAGTCTAGTACTCTATCTTTAACACACTTTCAGATGCTCATTCATGTTTATTTGGCGCTGTGACTGGTATTATTAACCTGGAAGAGAGATCAGCGCTGCTACCTCTCTTGAGCAGCGCCAGAGCGATCTCACGCCACAGCGCCAAAACGCTATTTATGTTTTTGAATTTCTAAAGAAAATGGACGTAATTTGAAAATTGAGACTTTGTTTCATATCAATAGTAACAAAGGACAAAGATTATTGCGATTTTTTGGATGCACGCAGCCGCAATACAATGTCCCATTCATTCAAATGACACAGGATGACTAATCGATTCTTGAGATTTAAGAATCGATATCGGTTCGTAAAAATGAGAAACGATTAATATCGAGAAATCGATATTAATTACCCAGCCCTAATGGGGGCATTGACTAAGTAAAAAGAAATCGCTAGTTTATACCACTAACAAGGCTCAAAATAGCCCCACACTAACACAGTAACATAACGAAGCATTGAGAACTTTGTAAGTGTACAGACCGTTTATTAAGAAGATATTTTATAAAGACAGTTATTTCAGTTACTTACAACATACCATTGGCCAACATATAATTATGCTCTATTCAAACTCTGCTACAATAATATGCAAGCAAAATGGGTGTACATGTTTACATGTTTTAGAAAAAAAAAAAATTGTATGCATGGTTGGTATGTTTTGGGGAGAAAAAAATTCACCGCAATATGGCCTTTTAACAAACACTGAATAGTTGTCCACAAGGCTTTTGATTTGCCATTGTTGTAGGCTGGAATTTTACTACAAAATGATGTGAAAATCATTCTGACCACACTTTCACAAACCACAATATAACAATGTAAAATGCGCAAGTCAGTTTTGTGTCTGCACTGCTGTATGCGTGGAATGCATAATCTCCATGAATATTAATAAGATTCAAACCAGGGAGGACAAAAGACACTCCCCCAATGGCTAATCAAGCTGCTGTGAAGGCAGTCTGAACTAGAGGTCTTCACGGGTCCAAAAATTCATGCCCGACCCGGAAGAGACCCGTAATGTGCTACACCGAACCGACCCGGACCCGTCGTTCATTTCAAAAGTTGGACCCGGACCCGTGCAGACCCGAGAAATGCCATAAATCTACTGCCCGGACCCGACCCGGACCCGTCGTTCATTTCAAAAGTTGGACCCGGACCTGTGCAGACCCGAGAAATGCCACAAATGTACTGCCCGGACCCGACCTGGACCCGTCTATTATTTGAAAACTGGACCCGAACCCGGCAGGAAGACACAAACCCGACTGGACCCGATTGTCACATATTATTTCACACGAGTTGCGAAAAAGAAAACTTTTTGTCTTACCTAATTTTAGTAGTCGTCGTCTCACTTCCTGACGTTATCTGACTGACTGTGATGCATTACAATTCACCGACAAGAAAGTTCTATCCATGTTATTTCTCTCGTTATTCCAAGCTTAATCCACTCATTATTTCAGCTTTAAAAGTCCACTTGATGTCACGGTGATGGATGAAAAATGCAGCCTTGCACATGCACATTCTGACTCGAGTTAACTCGCATAATAACTTTAACTGTTTGCCCTTTTGAACTATAATAACGATTGCTTGTTCAGCTTGATCATATCTGTACTCTCTGCTCTTCATTGAGTCTGAATCTGACCACCAAAACTTTAAGATTAAACAAGACGGTTCATTTATATTATTATAAACATTGGAGAAAATGCAAAGCGCGGTTTGGCGGAAGCTCTGCTCTGGTTGCCATAGAAACATGACACGCGCTTGAGATTGCACTCCAATCGCACGTGTATTACCAGCCTGTTCTCAGCGCGTGTTATATTAACGATAACGGGTGCCATGTGAGTAGTATTTCACCGTTTAGACAGCACGTCCTATATGACGCTAAAGGATGAGAATGCGTTGGTATTACACACAATGTTAAACAGACCCGGGACCCGAAGTAATAGATTCGGACCGGACCGGCTGCTCATTTAAAATATAGACCCGAACCCGTACGGGTCCCGGGTACACTGTGAAGACCTCTAGTCTGAACAAAGAATGATGAACTAAGAATGATTCAATGATTAATAAAAAGAATAGCATTTATTCAAAATAGAAATATGTCCTAACAATGTTAAGACAAAGTTTTTATTAAAAAAAAAATGTTATTCATCAAAGAATCCTGATAAAACTATCACAGGTGATTTCTGAAGGCTGATGGTTAGTGGAAGTTAGTTAATTGGTTAGCAGCTTAGCACACACATCTGAACACAGTCACGAATTGTTATGCCACTCTTGAAAACAGTTCCTGTTCAACTTAAGACATAAGTGAACATTGCATGCCTGGCATTTCCATGCTGTGTCCAGCCTTTTACCACGCACTACTTTGCAATGCACACATGTGCGGCGACCAGCTGTGGCAACATCCCTGTCATCTGATGTCAGCTTAGCTCCTGGAACCGGTACATGGTCACTATTGGTCCGTTTTGGTGCCGTTTTCTGTGACACACCACAGAGCTCTGTGATCAGTTGCTCCATAAACTCTTTATGAGACAAGTTACCATGTAGCTCGTTGTGCAAAATGAAAGAGTTGGTGGAAGCAATGTCCAAGAAGTGTAGAAAGACCTTTCTGTACCACTTCATGGTTTTCTGCTGTGTTGTGTTGTACTGTAACAGCTGATCAGACAGGTCAACACCTCCCATGTGCTGGTTGTATGCAGTCACAGGTGCAGGACATGGAAATGTCTTTGTCCTCCATGTATCTTGTGTTTTCACCCTCCTCTCTGCAGTGTCTCCCGTATAAGCAGAATGGATAGTAGAACAGACAGATACCTCTCGTGTGTCCATCCACTTCACAAATACAAGAGGTCCATCCCGAATCCACCTGATGGATCCCCTGGCAGATTTGTTAGAGAGAGAATTAGCTGCATTTCGAGGGCAGTCCTTCCTGTTGTCCCTGTAAGTCCCACATGCACCAAACTTCATTGCAAACAAGTCTTTTAGGAGCTTTGGGCTTGTGTAGAAATCATCCATGTACACATGGTACCCAGAACCCAAAAATGTGTGGTCCAAAAGAGATGTTACAGCCTCATATGAAAGTCCATGGCCTGTTTGATTCATAAAAAAGTCCACAGTGTATCCATTCGATGAGTCTGCAAGAACAAACAGCTTCAACCCCCACCTGTTTGGCTTGGCTTTCATGTGCCGTGTCATACCGGTGTGTGCTTTGCATGCCACCATTCGTTCATCCACAGTTAAGTTTCTTTTGGGATGATAGATTGACTTACAAGCAAGACGAATGGAGTCCATGAGAGGTTTGACCCTGAAAAGACGGTCATGTTCAGCTGTGCCCTTCTTTCTGTCATTCTCCTTATCTGCATCTGGGTGACTCATGTGCACATTCCATGAAATGGTGCAGTATCTGTCCCTGGACATGACTGTGGCTGGAAAGGGCACGGAGAAAACACTGCTTTGCCGCCAATAGTCCCTAATGGAGCTGACCTTAACCATTGCCATGTAAAACACCAGCCCAATGTAGCGGTACATCTCACTGATGCTGACATCTGTCCATTTATATTTGAAACCTTTTGCAGTTGCCTTGGCAGCTTGGGCATTGGTGTTGTGGCACAGAGTTGACACAGCACTTTCTGAAAAAAATTGTTTGAATAGACTCAAGGGCGAATGTGAGTCTACAGAGCTCAGTTGCGGTCCAGTTTCCCGTGCGGGCAGGAATCGCAGTGTCTCTGGAACCACGTCAACATCAGTCTCTGTTTTCCATGACAGCGTGGACTGCCTGTTGCTTTCCTTCTTGTTTGCCTTGGCTTTCTTCGGGACAGGTTCTTGGACATGCTCATTGTCACATCTGTTATAAAAAAGAAGAAAGAAAAAGTGTGAGCATGCTGATAACACAATCAAAGAAACTGTATTAGTATCATCGTTATCAATCACTAATGGCCAGCCAATAAAAAATGACGTTTTTTGTTATTCAATGAAGAATAGGAACTTTTACATTATGATGATGTAAACACAAATAGGCTATATTTCATGTGTAAAATTACATCTATAAACTTACTCAGTATGACACCTGTGTTTCCCTCTGCGAGGCGCTGGAGAAAGAGAACGTGATGCAGACACATTCCTGAAAAAATAAAATAAAAAAAACTGTTAGCATATATTATTCAAAGTAAACTGTTGGACAAATAATGGGTATGGATGCACAATGTATGTATATATCTGTTGATGGGCCAAGGGAATTTAAAATGTTTACATGAGCGTACACGAATCTTATGAATATTGTGAGGCAATCTTTCCTGTAAGATGTCAAAAGCTATAGCCAAAACTAGGCAAAAATATAGTCTGAAAATTAATCTGAGCTCTATATGACCAGAAAAGGAATGATATAACACTAAACAACTTACTTCGAGCTTGGATCCTCTGCGGGATCAATGCGTTCTTCAAAATGCAGCCATTCGTCATCCGAGTTGCAATCTTCCTCTGAGGAAAAGCTGAATTCTTCCTCGCTGTCCAGAGTGATCTGAAGGGCCTCTTCGACGGAGTTGTGTGCCATCCCCAAAACGCGATCAACTATCAGTGAATAATAATCGTTTTCAAAAATAATTTTTCAATAATTTTTATGTGAATAAATAGATAGATCTGTATGGTCTTGTGGTAGAACTTTGACAAGCGTGTCAGAGGTTCTGGATTCTAATCTACACTCATATTTTTCATGTACTCGTATACTTTTTTACCATCAAAACCAAATGCGTTCATCTGTGATTGTATATCAAGTAGAGATATGATTGTGATTTCACACACAGCGTCTGATAGCACACTGATAGCAGCGGCAATGGGCACTCAGAAACTTGATCTATAAAACAACATTTTAGTGATAGAACTCCTCTTTTTTTAACAAACTAACTAAATAAATGCTCTGCTAATTACCTGGAAATGTTTTATTTATTTGAATTAGGTACATCCATGCCGCGAGATGTTTCAAAAAGTGGTGGGGACAATATCAAAACTGACAAAAAGTGGTGAGCTTACAAAAGGTGAACTTATGGGCTCTAGCTCTAATGAACCTATACTCAAGATACTGAGGGGCCCGGTGCAAGGATGATTCTAGCAGATGAACCCCAAAAATTACTCATTACACAAGCCTAATCTAGATATTGAAGTGGCCCCCGCTGTCTGAAGTTCAGAACTATAGACTCATACCTTTCCCACAGCTTTTAAGCAGGCTTGAGTAACCCCACTGCTTAAAAAACGCAATCTAAATCCAGGACATCTAACAAGTTACAGACCGGTATCTCTTCTTCCATTTGTCACGAAAATAATTGAACGAGGTGTTTTCAACCAGATCTCCTTTCTTACACAGAACAACCTCTTGGACAAAAGTCAGTCTGGTTTCAAAAGCGGACACTCAACTGAGACTGTCCTGCTCTCGGTTACTGAAGATCTAAGACTGGCAAGAGCAGCTTCCAAATCCTCAGTCCTCATCCTGCTGGATCTGTCTGCTGCTTTTGACACAGTTAAACACCAGATCCTCCTGTCAATCCTAAAGATGAAGGGTATCTCGGGAACTGCTCTCCAATGGTTCGAGTATTACCTCTCAGGTAGGTCCTTTAGGGTGACGTGGAGAGGTGTGGCATCTAAGATCCTACATCTAGCTACTGGGGTGCCTCAGGGCTCAGTGCTTGGACCACTCCTCTTCTCCATCTACATGACATCACTAGGATCTGAAACATGGCTTTTCCTATCATTGCTACGCTGATGACATGCAACTATATCTCTCATTCCAGCCTGACGATCCGATGGGAGCTGCTCGTATCTCAGCCTGCCTGACAGACATTTATGGCTGGATGAAGGTCCACCACCTTCAACTAAACTTTGCGAAGACAGAGCTACTTGTGATCCCGGCCGACCCAACAATTCATCACAACTTCTCCATTCAACTAGGCTCATCAGCCATTACTCCATCAAGGTCAGCTAGGAACCTTGGGGTTGTAATTGATGATCAATTGAACTTCACAGACCACATTGCTAGAACTGCCCGGTCCTGCAGATTTGCCTTGCACAACATTAGGAGGATCAGGCCCTTCCTTACAGAGCACTCTACACAACAACCGAGGATTTGGAAGCTGCTCTTGCCAGTCTCAGAGCTTCAGTAACCGAGAGCAGGGAGTGTCCGCTTTTGAAACCAGACTGATTTTTGTCCAAGCACTTGTTCTATCCAGACTGGACTATTGTAATGCTCTCCTGGCTGGTCTTCCAGTTTGCTCTGTCAAACCTCTACAATTAATCCAGAATGCTGCAGCCAGAGTGGTCTTTAATGAGCCAAAGAGAGCACACGTCACTCCTCTCCTCACAAAATGACACTG